AATTGTGTTCCAAGTGCCATAAAACTATCACTAAAATTGTGTTGCAAGCGCTGTAAAAACTCTCACTAAAATTATGTTGCAAGCGCTGTAAAAACTCTCACTAAAATTGTGTTGCAAGCGCTATAAAACTCTCTCTAAAACTGTGTTGTAAGCGCCGTACAACTCTAACTAAAACTGTGTTGTAAGCGCCGTACATCTCTTATAAACTAAAACTGAGGTTTTACCTGTATTACTGTATTCTAGAAATTTAAATGTTTACAGCTGGGGCAATATTGCTTTAGTACTGAACGCATGTCTTGAGAACCACAAGTGCAAAAATGTGTTCGCTATAAAAATAATTTCTTGTAACAAATTTTGCAAAAAAGATTGTCATTGATGAGCTGTGACGTAGCCCATATGCGTGATCTAAATGTGAGTGAGAAGCGGGAAGGGCTGTGAACAATTCCATTTTCCGCGTGAAGAAGATTTGTAGTATTTTATATATATTTATGAAGAAAAGTTTTAAAATCTAGCCTCACCTGCTGTGGAAAAATATGATTAAGTTAAGACAAATTGATCCAAACTGCTGTGCAAAGTATGGGTGACATTGATTCACGCGTTTAAGAGATATTTGAAGATAAGTTGTGCCATGCATTTTTGACAGCACAATAAAACTAACTGCTCACCTGTACACTTCTGCGTGGCGTTGATCTGCTCAGGGCACTGACCCCCGGCCGTGTAGTGACCTCTGACACAGTCGCATGTGCCCGTCGTGTCCCAGTTACACAGCGCGTTGTCCACACACTGGTCAAGCGGGCCGCACGTGCTGGAGGCGTTCACGATGGGCTCACAGCTGCCGTGCAAGGTGAAGAAACCTTCGTGGCACACGCACGTGCCTGGGGGAAAGGAAAAAGCTTGACAATGACAATGAAAATGACTGACAATGATAATGATAATGACTAACAATGACAGTGACTTCTTTCTTCTTCTTCTTGATTGCATCACACTTGAAGTCCGGTATCTGTCCTAAATTGGGCCGTCCTGTTCAGTTCATCTGTCGGCCCGTCAGACAATTGACAGTGATAATGAGAATGATAATGAGAATGATAATGACAATGATAATGACAATGATAATGACAATGACAATGACAATTGACCATGATAATGACAGACAATAACAATAACAATGACAATTGACAATGACAATGGTAATGACAATGACAATGACAATGACAATGATAATTACTGACAATGACAATGACAATTGACAATGATAATGACTGACAATGATAATGACAATGACAATGATAAGAACAATGACTGACAATTACAATGACAATGACAATGAAAGACAATGACAATGACAATGACAATGATAATGACTGACAATGATAATGACAATGATAATGATAATGACAATGATAATGATAATGACTGACAATGATAATGACCGACAATGACAATGACAATGGCAAGGACAATCTTTATTCATCTCACAATCTCACAGGGAGAAGTTTGTCTTGGTCGTTTACAATGACAGACACGACCTTGTCGCCGCAGGAGCAGCGCCCTAAATAAAGGGGTAGGATTGTGTGTGTGTGTGTGGTGGGGGGTTGAGTAATAATAATAAATGACGTTTATATAGCGCTAAACCCCGATTAAAGTACACAGGCTCTGGGCGCTTTACAATACAGCGCAGCGTACAACAGTAACAGTATTGACCTGTTACATTTTGAACAATAACATAATGGTAACAGAAGAGGTTCAGGGTTGATTTATTAAATCTTGTATAACATTATTATTAAAGAAACAGAAGGGTTTGAGTGTTCAGTTCTTAAATCTTGTATACTATTATTTATTACAGAAATAGTAGAGAGAGGTTGAGTTCTGACTTGTTAAATCTTTCATTATAAATGATATTGTGGATACAGGTTCAGAAGAGGATGAGTACCGAGTTGATACATTTTGTATAACGTTGTGGAAATAGAGGAGGGTCAATTCTGATTTGATATTATTCATTTATTATGGAAATGTAAATTAAAATTAAATAAAGCCAAATTCATTTTTAAAGACGATTTTACATAATAACGCATAGCTTAGAGTTAGAGTTTTAAGAGACGCTTTGAGTTTTTTTCTTAAACAAACAAAGACCCCAAACCCCAACAAAACTTCAAAACAGAATCAACCCCTCTTTAAAAAATGTACTGACCTCCGTTGAAGACCTGGCATTCCGAGTTCGGCACACACTGACCAATGGCGTCACAAGGGTCAGTAGCGTTGACCCACACCAGGCAGGCGCCGTCCTTGGGGAAGTAGCCAAGGTGACACGTGCACTCGTCCTTCACGCACGCGCTGTGGTTTACGCACTGCTTGTCCAGCGAGCAACGCTGCGTGGCGTTCACCAGCAAGAAGCACCGACCATCCATCTCGTAGAAGCCTACGTCACACGCGCAGACCCCGCCCCCGTCGCAGGAGCTGTCCATCACGCACTGGCGGGAGGCGGAGCAAGGCTGGGAGGCGTTCCTCAGCGGGAAGCACCGCCCACCCTCGTCGTAGAAGCCTTCCTCGCAGCGACACGTCTGCGTCAGCACGTCACAACGCGCGTGCTCGACACACTCGCCCGGTGTGTAGTCGCAGGGCTCGGGAACACTCACCAGCACGCTACACAGACCGTCCTTAGGGTAGTAGCCTTCCCCACACACACACTCCCCGCCGACACACGAGGCGTGTTCTACACACTCCCCCGGCGTGTAGTCGCACGAGTTCGTGGAGTTAATCAGCCGAGCGCACTTGCCGTCTTTCGGGTAGTACCAGTCCCCACACTGACAAACGCCCAGGGTACATTTCGCGAACGGGGTGCACTCGCTGGGAACCCCCTCGCAGGAATCTGTGGCGTTGATGTGACGTAAGCAGAACGCGCCTTTCGCGTAGTATCCCAGGTCGCATGCGCATCGGCCGCGCAGGCAGTTTGCGTTCGGAACACACTCGCCGTTAATGGCGCCCTCGCAAGTCTCGTCCACTTTCCGCACCTGGGTTGGGAGAGGAGGAGACAGTATAATTTATTTTCGGAGGCTGGCTGTGGTAACAGTAGCAAAAAACCCCCCTAGCAGAAACAACAACAACAACAACAACAACAACAACAACAACAACAACAGCTACAAATATAGCTAAAACAACAACAACAACAGCTACAAATACAGCTAACTGCAACAGAATCACCCACCACCACCACCACCATCATCATCATCATCATCATCATCATCACCATCACCATCATCATCATCATCATCATCATCATCATCATCATCAACGCAACCACGATCACTGCAACTACCACCCTACTCCACCTCCATCACCACCACCATCACCACCACC